ACATCAACAATAATGATGCGGAATTGAAACGGCGGAATTGCACAGTGTAAAAAATAAGAAAAATGTATTTCTCGCTTTACATCAACTGCCTTATTAAATTTAGCCTACTGCAAAATTATACTAATGTTAAAGAAATTATTATTGAGTTTGAATGTTTGATTAATTTTGAATTTTTAATGGAAAGCGCAAGAGCTGAAGGAAGCCTCTGCTGTCAAACAATCCGGGAATCCGCTTGTGCACATTGTAGTGATATGCCTAAATGGGCTTCTAGGCATTTAGGAGCAGGAGCCGTACTTATACGCCATGAAATATGGCGTGAAATCTGTCTAAAACGTTAATTTACGGTAAAATGCTGATATTGACAAAATGAACCATTACAGTAGTTCGTTTATACAATGGTTGTTACTCTTAGAGTGCTTTCATTAACAGAACATAAAATAGATGTGATTCAGGAATACATCAGATACTGACGTACTGACTTGTGTGTGAGAGAGTTCCTCCAGAGGGTATTCTGTGGTCTCTGTGAATTCTTCAGCAAAAGCGTGAACAGAGCCAAAGAACGGTAATGGACTCGTGTCAGAGATGACTAAGGAACAAAATCTGGTTGGCTGAATAAAATCTGGTGGCCATCAAGTGGATCGAGAAGAACTGCAACCATAAAGCACCTCATCAAGCAGTATGGCCATAGGTACCATAAGCTGTGGCACAGCAACGCCAACTCACCACGCAAGTTAACGACTTGCCACCTGTTTCTCGGCTGATTGCACTGAAGTACAGTAAATGAATTCTTAAATTCTTTGCTAAAGGGACTAATCGTTTTAATCTGTGAATGGGACTCGAATGTAAAGTCTAGCACTACAATCAGCTGCGGTACTGAAACCTACTTTGTATGCATCTTTGCATATCCATCTTTATTATATGTTCAATGAAGTAGTGAATTTAGTTTTTCTCGAACGTTTAACCGTCTCATTTTCTGAGCAGCCATTATCACTAAACTTAGTTGATCTGACCTTTCCTTTGGGTACCATTCTTCGAAACATTAGATATTGTAATCCATTGGTTAATCTACAGTCGAGGAAAACGTCAACATAAATTAAGTAAGCACTTACATTGATTACTATTCTTTTCGTGCTCTGACGACAGTGAGGTTTTCGAAACGTCGTCATAAATGAACTTATATTCCTCGACTTTCCGCCTTTAACCATTGGATCAAAAGGCATCGTTTTTGAAACATAATTACTTAAAATACTGACATTGAATCAGCTATGAATTTCAGAAGATACGGACATTTCCTAGCTTAATAGAAAACTTACACTGAATACGACAGTTTTGGTCAAGATGGCATTTCGCTGGCAAATCTGACAAAGCGAAGACTCTAACTGACTCTGGGAGGAAAAGGTCAATTGTTCAAATTCAACTAATAGCTCCAGATTTTTCAACAGCATCCAAAATTTAACGCTCTAAAATATTTGACAGGAAGTAGTCGTTCAATCAGAGCTACAGTTATACGAAATGCGGAATCATTTACAAATGAATTATTCATCAACTTATATTATTAACTTCCAGCAATAAATAATTAATTTAAGTAACCGAGTTGCATATAAAGATGATCCATGAAACAACGGTGTTTCGAAAGGTTTTTCATTGTTAATTTAATAATCACAAAATTCATCGTGACTCTCAGCGAAATGTACTCTAAACATGTCACAGAGTACAGTATTTTCGACTAAACCGTAGTCTTTTTCAAAGGTCGCTGACAGCCATGAATGATTTGACATTATTAGCAACGGTATTAGCATGGGGAAAAAGTCTGATCGGGCCACGCCTCACAGAATCTTTACTTTGAGTCCCATTTGGCCGAAGTGAAGGGTCAACAGGCGTTCTTTTCAACACACTTTGCAAGTGTGCAGAGTAGACAAAACCAATTGCCAAGAAAGGAAAAATGAAATGGAAAATCAAAGTATCAACTAAAGTGTTCCTCAGATCCGTGCATGCAGTTAAAGTGGATATATCGCACGACTTACCATAGGTTTCAACAATGACGGATGGGTAACCAAGGTTCTGCAAGCGTTAATTTGGAAGACATCGGTTGAAAAGGGACGGTGAGGTAGCAGAGGTAAGGAAGCATCTGGCGACTGATCGCATGATACAAGGGAACATGGGCATCGGACTTGGTAATAGTGATTTTCGTTAATTAATAAGAAGGATACGCTATTTGTTGATTTAAGAGTTTATACGGCTGATAAGAGTAACTATTCCAGAAGACATTAATGGATGACTAGTGATTCAGATATGTCGTGGTACTCCACAGATCTTTCAGAAGGAAATGTAAAATGTAATAGGAGAAATAGATGGAGGCAAAAGATTTCTCTATCATGAAGAAATTCTTCATAAGAGCACATATCAGTGAAAAACTTCGAACCCGGGTACAAGCTGCTGGGCTATCGTAGACGAGTCGCTGGCCTTACGCGTCTCGACATGGTCCGGAATAGTGACATCAGGAAGAGCCTTGGAATA